AAAAAAAAGATTAACTAGAAAAATCTCCCTATGTTTGGAAATTAAGAAATAAGTATCTAAATAACCCATAGGGTGAAGAAATCAATTAGAAAGGATTCTGAATGTAATTATGCTAAAATAGTGCTTGTTAAAATGTGTGTGTGTGTAGTTAAAGCAGTATTTGGGGGAAGGTTTTTAGCCTCAAATGCATTTGAAAAATTCAGAGTTGCTTATGTAAAGTCAAAATACAAAATTCAACCAGTTTGCAGTATCTTTGATAGTTAGGCTATTAAATTTTGAAAAAAAAAACATTTACAATTGTATTGAAAATATCTGAAAAATTAAAGAAACAGAAAACTCTAAAACATAGTGAGAAGTGAAAGCCCTAAATAAACGGACCCATAAATGAATACAAACAGACCTATATATGAATGAGTGATTGGTACACATGTTTGCAGATATAACACTGCAAAACACTAAGGGAAAGAATGCATTATTCAATAAATAATGTTGAAACAATTTGTCATCTACATGGAAAAAGATAAAATCATATCCCTTAAGTAGAAAAACAATTCCAGGATTAAGAGTCCCAAGTGTAAAAGAGTTAAATTGTAAAACTTTCTTTTCTTTTTCTTTTTTTTAAGGTAAGAGAACATTTTTATAATCTCAGGGAAGAAAAGGATTGCTTCAACAAGACACAAAACAAAATATCAAGAAAAAATTGATAGTTTCGAGAGTCTAGTGAAAAAAAATGTTGGAGCGCCTGGGTGGCTCAGTCGTTAAGTGTCTGCCTTCAGTTCAGGTCATGATCCCGGGGTCCTGGGATCTAGCCCCACATTGGGCTTCTTGCTCCACGGGAAGTCTGCTTCTCCCTCTCCCACTCCCCCTGCTTGTGTTCCCTCTCTCACTGTGTCTCTCTCTGTCAAATAAATAAATAAAATTAAAAAAAATAAAAAATAAAGAAAAAAAGAAAAAAGTTATATGTTAAGGCACCAGTAACTAAATGAGAAGATAAACCAGAGAATAGAATGAAATCTTTGCTGCACACTTAAATGGCAAAAGTTTGGCATCCAAATACATAAATAACTCCTAATTATTAGCAACAAAAAAGGCAAGGCCACAAGAGATCAATAGGCAAAGTGTTGTCCATGCAATTCACCCGGAGGTAAATCTAAATTGCCAATTAAAACATGAAAAGATCCACAAACTCACTAGTCAACACGGGATCCTATTTTGTACTCATGAACATCTAAACACACCAAATTTTGCTGAGGATGTAGGGAAACAGGTGCAACTCTTTTGGAGTCCATTTCACAATTCCTAATACAATTTAAAATACGCTTTCTCTCATAGCCTTCTTTGAATCCTGTGTAGGAATTCACAATCTAGTTGTCACAATGGTACCTATACAAAGATGTTACATTCCAACTTCCCGAAACAAGACCATGGAAACAAACTTCCTGTGTTTAGGGGGATGGAAAAATAAACTGTGCTTTATTTACATCCATATGTATATGCATGAATCAGATCTATATGTATCAACATGGATGAAATCCAAAACCATTATATTGATTGATGTAAGCAAGCTCCAAAAGGTACCTATTAATGTGAAACCATTCATTGCATTTGAAGGACCACAAAACAATAGTATTTATTTTTCACAGTGACTAACACACACACACACACACACACACACACAGTGTGTAAATACAAAACATGCACAGAAGAGGGGGCAAAGAATGTGTGTATGACTTTTTGTATAACTTTTTTTTTAAGATTTTATTTATTTATTCATGAGAGACAGAGAGAGAGAGGGAGAGAAGCAGGCTCCCCACTGAGCAGGGAGCCCAATGCAGGACTTGATCCCAGGACCCTGGGATCATGACCTGAGCAGAAGGCAGACGCTTAACCAGCTGAGCCACCCAGGACTTTTTGTATTCATATACTGTTTCCCCTAAAGGGAGAGACGTTACTTTTATATAACTTAATGTTGCTGTTACGTTACTTTTTGTTTGTTTGGAATGTTTCCCAGTTCAACTTACTTTCTTAAACTGTCGAGAAAGCATTCTCCCTAAAATGTAGCTGTTACTCAGCTTCTGATAGTTGCTTGCTGCATTTCTGCTCTGTTTGGAATTTTAAGGCAAAAAGAGGAAGTAGAAGCCGTGTCTCAGACCATGAACTTCACCTTCTGCAGCTTAGAGAAGGAGCTCCCTCTAGCCCATCTCCCTGATCTATGGCCTGAGACAACAAGCAATGCGCTTCCCAGTTTCAGGTTGACCAGCTGGGCCTGGGAACTGTGATAAACCTGAGGATGCACTGAGCAGCCAGGCCTGGAACCCACAGAGGGATTTCACTGACGGGACTTCAGAACAAATTGTGTGGGTGGACAGTTCCACCCTGTCTGAACTCAGAATGTGGGGTCAACACCACTACTACCTCCCTGGTTTGAGAAATTGCTAAAGTACAATTGCAGAAATTGAAAGCAAAATATGTTTTTAAGGAGCGCAGCCCCAAGATGATAGATACCATGGCCCAAAGGCTAAATTTAGCCTACACGTGTACATTATTTGGCCCTGTGTTTGTTCAGCACTTTACAAAAAACCAAAAAAACCAAAAAACCACTATGTGTTTTGCAAAGTTTTGACTTATTTGCTAACATCTAGAGTTTGAGAGATTTCTGATAGAAATTGGATCCATCCACTCCCCACCCCAGCCCCCTTCTCTCCTGAAGAAAGCAAGGATTCTGGCTTTGCTGAGCCTGAATTCTAGAATGCCAACAAACAGTTGGCCCTGAAGACGGGTCCCCACCCCACAGCCTGACTCATTCATTATCTCACCTGCTGGCCCCTCCAGGGCTTTCAACTCCCTCATTTTACAGAGCAGAAACCTGAGGCTCAGAGAGGTCAAGTGCCCTGTCCAGCACCAGAGTTACCTTGTGGAGGGAGGCATGCTGGCATCCTCTCGACCAGTGACCGGTTAACTTATGATTCCTTGTCTCTACACACATTTCATGGTTTCTAATGACACTTTTTATATAATTCAGCCAGTGCAATAGAAATGATCATTCTCATCAATTTTAACAAGAACTTGCTTCAAGCAATGATAAAAATAATACAATGGGTTAATTGTATTATCAGCAAGAAGGCATCAAGATTTGGCCAAACTCAAGACACACACACAAAAAATGTTACATGTAAAAAGTAATAAGGGAATGTGACAATATAATTAAAAATTGGCATAATTAGAGGTTGTATGATCACAGAGCATCACTTTTCCAGGCTGATCTTTATGTATCCCCCATTTCCCAACCTTCCCCTACCTCTCCTCTTCTTTGGAGTCTAGAAGGATGTGCAAACCCTGCTCGGAAACTCTGCCCTGGCCTTCCCACAACATATACTTTCTTTAGTTCTTTTGCTTGTTGTATTTACTTGCTCTTGGATTAAAGATGGTAGATAATCTACACTGACTTGGATGAGTTTAATATACCATGCCCAGAAGTATTGAGTTGGGCATTCCTAGTCTATGCAAAGGGCATTTTTGTTGGAACCAGCTACATGAAAAGATTACATGGATTATAAAAGCCCTTAGAATGTAAAACACTCAATAACCTAAATGTAAATTGACAGGGGAATGGTTCAATTGACTTTGGCATATTCATATACTGTGGAAAATCATGCAACAAGGCAAAAAGAAAGGTGAATGTATCTCACATACTAACATGGACAGATCCATAGGTTGCAAAAGGATGCATATAGCATGGTATCGATTATGTTAAAAAAACACCAACACAACCATATGTTGTTTGTGGGTCTATTTGTGTGTACCTAAATGCACAGAAAATGTCCAGAAAGAAACATGAAGTGGTGAGTGGATGACCTTTGTTTAGATGGGAAGGGGGAGAAGAATAAGAATAAAGAGGGTTTTAGCTTAATCTTTCATGTCTTAATTTAAAAGAAAAGTACTTAGATTACATATGGTCATAAGACACATTTGTGTGACTGTTGACTTCCAATTATAGTCTCAATCATGAAGTTGTAAAACTGCTCATCTTTGGAAATGAAAGTTATGCTACACTATCGCCCACATTAACTTTTTAAGTGTATAAATCACAGACTCATCTGACAAGTTAAATTTTACTCTCAGAAGTTCAAATCAAGTGAGTCAACTAGGAGTTATAATAGTTTGGGGGACACCCAATTTATCTTTGCAAAGAATAAGAAATATGGAGTGCATTTAAATGAATCTGGGATCTCTCAAATTATGAATCAAAATCAAAGTGACAGATTGCTTAATTCATCCTGAGTTTTATTTCTAAGGTGCTAATAAGTTTTCGGTGATGGCATTAGCTTTTCCCAACAATAGTGACCAGAACACTGGAGTGTGAGTTTTGACAAGGGGGAAACCGAGCCCCAGAGCGGTCAGAGTTCAGTGTGAGGTGACATCTAGGAAATGTCAGGGCTGGGACTTTCCCAGCCCTCTATGCTTTCTGCCAGGCCACGCTGCCTGCTCTGATTCACCAGTATGACATAGCGCATCTCTGTAGCCGGTGTTCTCATCCCTAGCCATTATCTCAGACCTACGTCTGTATCTATCTATCTATCTATCTATCTATCTATCTATCTATCTATCTATCTATCTATCTTTCTATCTATCTATCTATCTATCTATCTATCTATCTATCTATCTATCATCTATCTATCATCTATCTATCATCTATCTATCCATCCATCTATCCATCTGTCCATCTATCATCTACCTCTGGAGGCCTTTCCCCAGGGTCCCTGACTCAGAGTGAACCAGACAAGCTTGCTCCTCTCCTCTTCCACCGGCCTTCCTCCAGCGCATTCCACCTGTTCCCCGGGCATGCCCGCCTGCTCGCAACCCCACGCCGCCCGCCCAGGCACCGGCGTGGAGCCCAAAGTCACGCACGCACCGGGCAGGGGCTCAAGGCCTGCGCCCCGCGGGTGGGGCCCGCGCGTTCCCGGGACGAGGGGCTGGGTGTCGCGCCGCCCGTCGCTCACCTTGCCTGTCGTGGGCGCCGCCGCCAGGAGCACCAGCAGGAGCGGCAGTAGCAGCGCGGGCGACCTGGGCGCCGTGCCGGGGCGCATGGTGGGCGCCCGCTCAGAGCCCCGGCGTGTCCAGTGACCCGCAGGCTCTGCGGACACCGCGTCCCTTGCGCGACGCGGGTTGGGGAGCCTGGCTGTGAAGCTCGCCTCGCCAGCCCGCCCAGGGCGGGTTTTGTAGGGCTCAGCCACGCCGTCCGTCCCTCCCCACTGAGGTTTTTGACTGCGGCTCCAAGGGAGGGAAGAAGTGGCTTAGGTCCCGCCCTCGTCCCCCCTCCTCTTCAACTCACCAGGCAATGTCCCTCCGACCTGGGCATCGTGCCCAGCAGGCGAGAAAAAAAAACTGTGCGCTGCGGGGCAGGTGGGCGCGGATCCAGGGTAAGGGGTTAGGAGAGGATGCTCCCAAGGTTCTGGGGCCGAGGCGGGGCCGGGGGGCGCGGGTCGGAGGTGGGGAATTTGGGGGTGTGCGCTGGGGAGGCGGCTGAGCGGGGCGGGGGGGAGTGGCCAGCGGCAGCGCCCAGATTAAGCGGGAGGCGCGCCGGGCGTCTGCACTCCAGCGGCCCAGCCTGCTGCCGGCTCCCGCGGCGGTGCCATCGCGCCGCTCTCCGCTTCTCAACCCGCCGCGGACTCGCAGCCGCCGCCCTGGGCGGTGAGAGCGCCGAGACCCGGCCGCCTAGGCGCGCGTGGATTTGGACGCGGCGGAGCCGGGAGGTGCGGCGCCGCGCGCGCTGCGACCAGGCGGCTTCCGGCGCGGCGGGTGTCTCCGGAGGTAAGGCGCCCACCGCCCAGTCTGGGCAATCGCTGTCCCTGGGCACCTGTCTGGGGTGGGGGTGGGGGGTGTGGGCAGTGGAGGAAGCGTGGCAACTGAGGGTGGGGCGCGCGGGATGGCGGGCGGGGCTGGGGAGCTGGGGTCCCGGGGTCACCAGAGGAGAGCTTGTCTGGCTCCTGGGCTTGTGTGCCCGGGCTTGAACTGGGCGCTGTGTTTTGATGAATTTGGAGGCTCGAGTTATCAGCCTGGCAGCCTGGGCACTCCAGAATGCCAAGAGCAAGAGGCAGCGGAGGGGAAAGAGAAAGCCCATCCTATTCTCTGCTGCGTTGAACTGGCTTTTCAGGGTAAGTCCTATCTGCGGAAACGCAGAGGAAACCAAAAGCCAATTCTGTGCGGGGTGTCTCCCTCCTGAGAGCGCCCTTCTTGCCGGTGCGGGACCTGGCTTGTTAGGGCGCTATCTTCAGAACGGGGGGTCCTGCCCTTTCTTGTGCCACTGACCACGTTGGCCCTGGGGAAACATTAGACCCCTTTTCGGAATCATGTCATTAAATACACAAAATCACAAAATTAAATCAGAATCAGTTTTACTGGATTACAGGTATCAGTGTATTAAAGTCATGATATCGTGACAGACGCGCGACATTATTACTGCACTAAATACCTGCAGCTAACAACAGATCTGTCAAACACCTGTAATCCCAAACTAGTGGGGACAGCAAAACGAAAATGTGACATGGAATCACCAACAGGTGCCCTCTCAAGAGCTGCCAAAACGATTGTAATTTGTTGCCTATATTCATAACTGCTTGAAATGCTGAACTTCCAGGAAAGGTTAGTGAAAAGAGACTGTACTTTTTGTTGCCATACAAGTTCACAGACCACCTGAATTCCATCTCCACGTTAAGGACCCCTGCTTTGAAGCAGTGTTTGCTATCTGCAGTAGTTGGTCATCAAGTACCATGTGTGAAATATGTGCTTTGGTCACTGATTGTGGAGAACCACTTGCTCGCAATTAGAATAGGGTCTATTACTATATTAGACCTATGTAGCTATGTAGGTAGGCAAAACCCTGACAGTGAATGAAGACATCTCCCCCCCTTTTTTGTGGGGGGCTGGTGAGTGAATTTAATGTCTTCCCTCTATTTTTCATGCCAGTGATTGTTGACTGTGGCTATGCATTATAATCTCCTAAGGAACCTCTAAAAACCCTGATACCCAATTCATCCCAAACCAATCACACCAGACCTTCCAATGGTAGGACTCAGGTGTGTTTAGAAGCTCCCTGGAGATTCCCATTTGCAGCCAAGTTTGAGAACTACTGTCTTACATGCTTATTTCAGTTGGCTGAGTTGAATTAGGGCCTCTCTTTTGTGGAAAAATCAAAAGGACATATATTAAACTCTCTATTAAGACTTATGTGTGTTCAGGCCACAGGTATTGCAGTGTGGGACATAGTAGCTTCTCCCTATGGACAGGGAAGCCTCTTATGGAACCTTGTCTTGTCACTCTTGTTAGATAGGACATCAGGTGCTTGGTTGATGAAATAAAAGACTCCAAGAATTCCAAGTGTGATAATATTGCATGAACTGACATTACTTCCTAGAGGGGAAAAAAAAAAAACCCCCAATGCTAGTGCTAAATATTCTTTATTTTTGCTGAATTCCAGAAGATCTCTCAAGTTTGGTTTTTAATTGCTTTTTCCTGAAACCAAGTCATTTTGACAGAAGATCAGACTTGGCTTTATTAACTTTGAACTGGGAGGCAGCAGTCAACGGCAAGTCACCTCTGATGCTGTAACAGAGCAGGAAAGAACCCTGTGATGTAAATACGGTAAGGAGGAAGCAGTGGTGAAGAGCTTGGTCTCTGGGGTAGCCAATGGATTTTGAATCCTTTGCACACTTACTAGTATGAGCTAACCTCTCGGGTCTGGGGTCTTCTCTTCTGTAAAATGGGCCATAATCATCGCACCCACTGCCAAGAGTTGCAGGAATCCAGTGCAGTAATGCATTAGAAGCCCTCTGTCCAGGGTCTTCATGAAATAATCTTATCTTGGGATCTGATTCTCCAGTTGCATAAAGGAAAAGTGGGTGAACCTGATGAGAAATGGTGGCACATGATGGAGATGCTCTTCTCAGCTCAGCAGGAAAGGGGTGATAGCCAAGCACACCCCACCTGCTCCTTTGAGGTCAACCAACTACTAAGGCATCTAGAACCTTGTTACTTGGCATCTCTGGGAGCAGTAGCTTTGGCATCCTGGAGAGCTGGTTAGAAATGCAGAGTCTCAGGTACCACCCCAGACCCATTGATTCAGAGCCTGCATTCACCAAGGTCTCCAGCTGATCCTCCTCACATTAAACTTTGAGAAGTGGCTTGTCTAAAGGCCAGATTTCACCTCCCATTCCTCACCCCCCCCCGCCACATACATACATTCCCTTTGGTACAGTGATGTATACTTGAAACTAATAAAACATTCCAGGTCAACTATACGTAAATTTAAATTAAAAAGAATAGTCACACACACAAAATGTTTGGTATATTCACTAGTTGGTATTAGTAAACCAGAATTCTTGATTTAAAAAAAAAAATAGGCTTGGGGTCAAGAGAGTTGATTTTTCCACCGTTGTTTCTTTATTTTTCTATTTTTATTTTGTTTTTGTTTGTTTTTCAATTTGTCTTTATTTTTTTTAGTACATCACTAGTTTTTGATATAATGTTCAATGATTCATTAGTTGTGTATAACACCCAGTGCTCATCACATCACCTGCCCTCCTTAATACCCATCACCCAGTTACCCCATCCAATGTAATAAAGCAAAAGTAAAGTGGGGATGGTTCTTTTTGTCTGTACAAAGGACGCAGAGACCTCTACTTTTTACACTGATGGCAGATGAGGGTTTTTGAACCAAGTGAAGTGGCCATTGCCTCTGACAAGCTTGATATTATTATTTTGCTCCTTTTTCAAAATCACAGTATCATGTCTGTCTTCTACGTAGTGCTTAAATGCATAGCATTTGCTTCCCTACATGGGAGTGGAAGCTCCATGAGGGCAGGGGTCTTTTTGGAGTTCTTTCCTGTTGTTGAATGAATGAAGTTGAATGATGTAACCAATTCCCTCAGGATTCGCATGGCCTCATGCTGCGCTCATCATCTGTGGATGATGGTAGCTTTCTAGCTTGTCCCCTCCAAGTTTTCTCTGCAACTCATCTCCTAAAACATTGTCAGAGCTCCACCTAAAGTTACACGTTGTGTGGAAAAGGGCAGCTTACTCTTGGGGCACTTAAAAGCAGTCTCCAAATTTCGGAGGCTTACGGTAACAAGATTTTTTTCTCCCCATTTTCCTTACATATTCATCACAGAGGGTGGGGAGGTAAGGAAGGGGAAGATGCTCTGCTTATCATAGTCACTCAGGAACCTCCTCGAAATTCCCATGCAACACATTCTCTGATCTCAGAAGGGAGAGAGAATGTGCCAAATCAGAAGCTACTCTAGCACATACTACTTATACACTCACATTTCATTGGCCACCCTTCATTTTGTGAGTGATGGGGAAATGAAGTCTACCACGTGCCTGGAAAGAGAGCCGGAAATATTTGGTGAATGTTAGTAATGCCTATCACTTGCATCACCCTGCTTGCTTATTTTAAAGCATCCAGAAACCCTTCTTTGTCTACTTTACAGCTAATTTCACACTACTTAGAATAGAATAGGGTGGTCCCAAATCAACTTTTTGTACTGTATGTTACTTTTCTGGATTACAAGGCCTTGAAGGGCAGGGACAGAGGGTGATTTTTTTTAACATAATAAATGCAGCACAAAAATTAATTTACTGCACTGTAATTTTTGTACCAAGAACAGTACCTATTTAAAGTACACAATCCAAGATGCATTCATCCTGTGAAACCATGATACAGATCATGATACAGAGCTTTTCTCTCATTTCTTGCCCCTTGGTAGTCCATCTCTCTTTAATCCTGTTCCCAGGCAAACATGGATCTGCTTTCTGTCACTGTAGATTGCTTGGCGTTTTCTAGAATTTTATATACATGGAATCAAACAGTATGTGCCCTTCTGTGTCTGGCTTCTTTGACTCCGCGGAATGATGCTGAAACCCATCCATGTTGTGTGTAACAGCGGTTTTTTTCTACTGCTGAGTCAGGTTCCATTGTATGGATAGCGGCTTTTTAAATGCCATTTACCAGTGGTTGGACATATGATTTGTTTCCAGTTTGGGGACTATTATAAATAAAGCTGCTCTGAATATTTTTGTATAAGGCTTTGTGTGGACACGTTGCCATTCTCTTGAATATATACCTAGAAGTGAAATGGCTAGATGTATGTTTAATTATAAAAGAAACCGTTTTCCAAAGGAGTTATATCGTTCTACATTCTCACGGGCAGTGTGTGGGAGTTCCAGTTCCTCCATATATTTGTGGCTCATTCTTTTGGTATTCTCAATGTTTTAAATTTTATTGTAATAGTTATACAGTGGTATGTTGGTGTGCTTTTCATTTGCCTGGTAACTAATGAGGTTGAATATCTTTTCATGTACTTACTAACCATTCATAGAACTTCTTTTGTGAGGTGTCTTTTCAAATGTATTCCCCATTTAAAAAAACATTGATTGTTTCTCTTCTTACTGTTGAGTTATAATAGTTATTTATATATTCTGGATACAATATCCTTGCCAGATATATTTACTATGAATATTTTCTCCCATTCTCTGGCTCATCTTTTCATTTCTTTTTTGGTGTCTTTTTAAAGCAGATATTTTTCTTTTAATGAAGCCTAATTTATCAATGTTTTCTTATTTGGTTTGTGCTTTTCTTGTTATCTGAGTGATCTTCACTTATGCTAAGGTTACAAAGATTTCACCTAAGTTTTCTTCGTTGGTAGTATTTTTACGGTTTAAGTCAATGATCCATTTTGTTAATTTAGGAGTATGGTGTGAAGCAAGGATCTATTTTAAATTTTCCTTTCTGTATGGTTATCCAGTTGTTCCAGCACCATTCATTGAAAAGACTTCTCTTTCTCCACTAAATTGTCTTAGCACCTTCATAGAAAACCAATTAATCATCTATATTTGGGTCTTTTTTTTAAAGATTTTATTTATTTATTTGAGAGAGGTGAGCAAGAGAAAGCATGAGTGGGGGCAAAGGGAGAGGGAGAAGCAGGCTCCCTGCTGAGCTGGGAGCCCCATGCGGGACTCAATCCCAGGACCCTGAGATCATGACCTGAGCCGAAGGCAGACGCTTAACCAACTGAGCCACCCAGGCGCCCCTGGGTCTTTTGTTTGTCTATTCCCCTGATGGACATGTCTCTTCTTTCACCAATACCACATTTCTTTATTACTATAGCTTTAGAGCAAGTCTTGAAATCATGGTATGTAAGTTTTCCAATTTTGTTGTTGTTATTTTTAAAAATAGCTTATACTATCCTAGATAATATGAACTACATATATGTGGATTTGATTAGCTAATGTTGTGCTAAGGAGAGTTGTGTCTATGTTCATGAGGGACATCGATCTGTAGTTTTCTTGTAATAACCTTGCCTGTTTGGTATCTGAGTAATACTAGCCTCATAAAATCAGTTGTCCAGCTGTCTCTCTTCTGTCTTCTATAAGATTATGTGAAGAATTGGTATCATTTCTTCCTTAAATATTTGATAGAATTCACTAGTGAAGCCAGCTGACCCTGGAGCTTTCCTTGTGGAAGGTTTTGAATGACTCAATTAATTAATCATGAACTTTGGGTCGCCTGGGTGGCTCAGTTGCTAAGCGTCTGCCTTCGGCTCAGGTCATGATCCCAGGGTCCTGGGATGGAGCCCCGCATCAGGCTCCCTGCTCCGCGGGAAGCCTGCTTCTCCGTCCCCACTTCCCTGCTTGTGTTCCCTCTCTTGCGTGTCTCTCTCTGTCAAATAAATAAATAAAATCTTTAAAAAATTAATCATGAATTTAATTAATATAGGCTATTCAGATTTTCTATTGCTTCCTGTGTCAGTTTTGATAATATTCATCTTACATGAAATATGTTCATTTTTTTATACATTGTCAAATTTATTGGTATATAATTGTTCAGAAGATTCTGTAGTGATCATTTCAATACCTGTAGATCTGTAATGTTTTCCCCTTTGTCATTTCTGACATGGATAATTTCTCAAGTAGATCCATTTTATTTACCGTTTCAAAAAAACTGAAGAACCAACTTAGAATTTCTTTCATTTTTCTCTATTGCTTGAGTGCTTTCTCTTTTATTGAGTTCCTTTTCTACCTTCATGATTCCTTAGCCTTTACTTCAGGATTAATTTATTCTTCTTTTCCTAGTTTTCTAAATATGGGCTTAGATCACTGATTTTAGACTTTTCTTCTTTCCTACTATGAACACTTATAGATATATTTTCTTTCTCTGGTCTGGGTAAGTTGTATCCCATACATTTTGGTATGTTGTTTATCATTTGGTTCAAAATATTGTTTTTGACCCATGGGTTATTTGGAGTGTGTTGATTTCCAAATATTTGAGAATTTCCTAGATGGTTTATGGTTGAGTTCTAATTCAATGCTCTGCAAGATTTCAGTCTTTTGAAATCTATCGAGACTTGTTTTATAGTCCAGTATATGGTCTGTTTTGGTGAACACACAACATCCATTTAGAAAGAATATATATTTTGCAGTTGTTGTGTATAGTGTTTATATCTATGTATATAAATTAGGGCAAGGTGGTTGATGGTGTTGTTCAGATCTTCTGTGTCTTGACTAATATTTTCTACCTTGTTCTATCAGTTACCAAGAGAAGCATTAGTCTCCAACTATGGTTTTTTTTTTTAAGATTTTATTTA